TATAAGTCTCTAAGAGTGTATGCATTCGAATTGAACTAAATGCTAGAAAAAAATATCTCCCGGGGCAACTGAAGCACTGCTTAATATTTGGGGTCACAGTATGGGCAGAAAAGAGTTAACACAGCAGGCCTGAGACTGCTTCCTTGGAAGAGTCCTGCTTGCAAGGCTGGCCCTTGGCTGGTATCCAGGAACTCGGATTTGGGGGGGTTTCCTGATTTCTTATTTCTTATTCTCGGATAAGAATAGTTCCTCAGGGCACGGTGGCGCATGCCTGTAGTCCCAGCTATGCACTGTGCCTAACTGTGTAAACAGCGTGGTTTATGCTGACCACCCACATTCTTTTGGGGAGTCTGGAATTTTGTTACATGCCAGACAGATGGTGCCTATGTGACCACCCAATTAAAAACCTGGACACTGAGTCTCTAATGAGCTTCCCTGGTATAGACAACATTTCACATGTGCTGTCATCAGTTGTTGCTTGGGGAATTAAATGCCTACTGTGTGTGTGGCTCCACTGAGAGAGGACTCTCGGAAGCTCGTGCCTGGTTTCCTCCAGTCATGTGTCTTTTCCTGGCTTTGCATCCTTTGGCTATAACAGACACAGCCATGGGTCTGACTATATGCTGAGTCCTGTGAGGCCTCGAACCTGGGAGTGGTCTTGGGGACCCTTGGTACACCTTATTTTTAGCCTTGCCTTGTACTTGGATTTATACAGTGTATGTTGGGGAGGAAAAAAAAAAAAGGTTTGCTTTTAAGAGAACCACCTCTATGAGAAAGTAACGGCAATAAAAGCAACCCTACACTGACTTCAGGGGCACAGCCCCACGGTTTATCTAGGACTCCCTGGGTTTCCAACTGGTCGCTCCAGTGAGCAAAGCACTCAGGGAACTCTACAACTGAAATTGCCCTTCCTAAGGGGATCTTCCCGTTAGCAGGACGGCATTTCTGAGAAAAGGTGAGGGAATCCCTTCTTCTGGCATTTGAAGCTTGGCATGACCAAGCATATTTCTATTCCATCTAAAGAGGCAAGATTTCTTTGCATTAAGGAAAATACACAACAAAATTAGAGCCAAAGACAACAAACAGTCCAGCCTCTCACGTGAGATGGGGAATAAATACCGTGTAAACCATGTAGTTCGTCAAGTAATCAATTTTAGTTCTTTTAAATCTGGTTTTCCCACTATTCTTCATTATTTTAGTGTCGGCACCTAAAATGGAAAATTCAATGTGATCAACAACTGGGAAGATCAATTCAACAGCCTGTCGATAAAATTACTCTACCTTTGGTTTTGATGGAGAGAGGACAGAAAAGCAATTTCCCCTTTAAATCTTTAAAGCTCCTAGTAGAACAATTTCCCAAGAAACTCCAAAAATACCTGCAAAAATGACCAATCCATGACAGACATC